AGAAAGTTACGTTAAAATATTTAGATAATCTTATCCAATTAACTCTAAATATTGTCTTACAGTAAAATATTTAATTTAATTTCATTAAGTAATTGTCTATTTTCACAATTTTTTATAATTTTCATTAGAGAATTGGAGAGATATTGATGAGATATAAATGCTTATGATAAAATTTTGAATTCTGATTTTGATTGTGATGATGCATATGAAAAGATATGATATATAATAAGATTTAATGGAATATGTCTACAATAACATATAAATTTATTGGTATATTGTATTTAAACACGTTTGAAGATGTAATATAATAAATAAATCATTAACCTTGAATATAAATTGGTCCTTAAGAAATTGCAAATATGGCAAATAATTAAAGCATATATAATGGATTTACTTATGCACTTTAAAAATAATTTTGGAAGGATATATAATAATAATCAATAATAAAGATGTAATTAATTAGAAAAACAATAAATATCAAAAAACTACAAAATTTAGCCTTTTACATAATACTTTAAAAAATTTTGAATTCTAAAATCAAAGTTCTCATAAAATTTCTTCAATAAAATAATACTAAGTTTAAGCTGAATCCCTATATGAAGATGGTATTTAATTTGTAGAATATCTTAAGAAGATTTTGATGATATAATTGTATACTATCTCAAGCAAACTAATTCGATTTTGAAGTTAGATTGTAAATGCTCAATAATATTAGAAGTAGTAAATAAAGATTTCTTAATTTGATCAAACCAAAATGATTACATTGTATTTTATTTGTCTATTAATATTGTGATTTTGATAATCTAATAATAGAATTAAAAAATAAACTTCAAATGAATTTTATTTGTAGCCTTATTTATCAAAATATCTTTAGAAAAATTGATTTTCATGAATTTCATGTTTCATCAATTTTGAAGTTCTGCTTCCTTATAATCTATTACCTTGCTTCATATAATTCTCCTTCTTCAATACATTTTTAAAAAAATAGTGCACTAAGTACCGGCTTGGAAACGCAAAATTAAACAGACTAATATCAACATTTATGCATAATTTTATATGCAGATCATATATACGTGAAATACATCATCCTTCCTTAAAATGATTTAAGTTTGATTGTAAATTCCTACTTTAAATCTATTTGCTAACCAGTCTAAAATCTAATAGTATTTTAGTTTTTAATTCTACTTTCATATACTCACATATTCAGGAAGAATATGTCATTTATAATATATTGATGATGTTATATCTACTTTTTCTTGACGATCATATTTCAGTTTCAAAATATAGTCTTGAAATTTCACAGGTTGAAATCTATACGTGTCTTTCCTTAAGTAAGATATTATTAGAACATAAGAACAAAGTAAAAATTTAAACCTTGGTAATGGCATAAGATTCGTCTAACATTCAAGACCATTCTTAAAAATTTAATAAATCATTTAATTATCCAATAAAAAAATTTAATGTTGAAGTTGCAAAGATTAAGTTATTTGATTCTTCTTATATCATCATCTTTAGTCAGTTATCCATAAGTTGTATTTAATGCTATAAAAAAAAAATAAATCCAAACTTGGATTTAACAAATAATTAAATAATTTTTTAGAATTTGTAATCTCCTTTTTCATTTAAAAATAGACTTTTCATTTATTCTTTAATGAATTTCTCAATCAAAATTATTACTACCTCAAACATAAGATTTTCATTTCTGTAATAAAGTAAATTATTAATCATCTTCAGACATCTTAACAAATTCATGAAGTCACTTATGAATATCAACATCCAGAATTATTTTTTATTAGGATTGAAATTTTAGCCATTAAAATGTGATTGATCAAAACTAGCTTTGATTTTAGAAAATTTAATACATTTATATTCTTACCTTAAATGTCTTTTAAATAAACCTTATAAAAATATCAATGATTTATTGATAAAGTAATATATTACTATTACAATTTTACCCATTGTGTTTATAATTGCAGAATTTTTTTGGAAAGAATATCAAAAATATTTCTTAAGGACCAACTTTTTGAATCATTCTTTCAATATCTGTTAAAAGTAAAAACTTCATATAGCTGCAAATTGATTGTTTTTCAACTCTTCATCTAACTAAATTATCTCTATTAATATTTTATCAACCCCTATGGTAATTTAAATATAAAACACCAATTTAAGGAGATTAATATTTCCTATTTTTCACTTTGAATAATGGATTTTATTTGTGACATAATTTTATTTCAAATATTCTAGTTGAATAGAGAAAATTTTTTAAGATAAAAGATGAAATGATAAATTAAATAAAAATAGTAAAAGTTGAAACTCTTTCTATAAATGATTAACATTATGTTATGTATTTCTTGTACGATAATTATTGTATTCTTTTTTTTCGTCTAGAAATAGAATTATTAATTATGATCATAAAAGTTTTTTCTGAACAAGCTTATAAAGTATTTTAATAAAGTAGTTTGATAAAGAAATAAAAATATAATTATTTTTTAATATTGAATAGTCATTGCTTCAATTTATTCTCACAAATTTCTAATATAATATGTCAAAAATACTCTTTTAGTTTATTGTCCATTGATCATTTGGATTTATCTTTAATGATTTCTCGTAATAAATTAAAGCTTCTTTATAATTTTATTGATCTTCTAACCATGCACCTACAAATTAAAATTATAATATACCTTTAGATTGAAGAGAAAAGTTATGTTGTGGATTAATGGTAAGTGCTAAATCTAATATTTTTAAAGATTCATCATATTTTTTCAATTATCTTAAGCATATACCTATTAATTAAATTATGATGCAATTTACCTTTTCCACATAAAGAATCAACATGCTTCGTATCAATAATTAATGCTTTGTCATACCAAGTGATTGCATCCTCATATTTGTTCAATCCTCTTAAGGAATCACCTATTAATTATTTATTATTTAACCTTTACACCATAATGATTGATGATTATTGGGATCTTATTATATAGATTGATTTAGTACTTCTATGGCTTCAAGATATTTATCTTCCCAATATAATTTATAACCTAATAATTATAATAAGATGAATACCTTTATCATATAATTGTTTAGATAATTATATAGAATTATTATCAATCTAATAATAATTAAATTAAGATAAGTTTAATTATTGATATAAATTATTAAAAGAATGATTTAATTTATTAGTCTATTCTGATATGATTTTTGTAATTGATTATTAATATTCTTTAAATTAGATTGTTGAATTCAAGTAATCATTTATTTATTAAGAATTCAATAATATTAATCTTTGCTTATATAATTAATATTTTTATATGATTCCTCTTTTTAATTAAGAAAATGATTGATTCATAATTTCTATTAATTTATTAAGATCATCAATTAATTTATCACATTCTTAATTTTTCTAATCAATAAATTGAATCAAGCTGTTGATTTTTTCAACATCATCAAAATGATCATTATGGATTCTTCCCTTCTTCATACATTTAAAGCAATTTAATCTGAATTCTTAACAAAATTAATTGTAACAAACCGTGTCTATCTCATCTTAATGATCATCTTTTTAACATTTTATCTTTAAATTACATTACTAAATCATATTTTAATATTTAATATCTAATATATATTCAAATACACCCTTATATAAATAAATTGGAATTCTATTAAACAAAATAATT